AGAGCACAGTGTTGCTGTGACAACTCCCACATCATCCTCCATGTAAATACGAGTTTATGACCGACTGATTCATGCACACTCTAGTACAACAATCGACTTCGGTACCAGAACCTCTACCATCCCCCTCACCTGGAGAGTTCCAGGGGTCAACGCCCCCACAACCCGGTCTGTGACCAGGCCTCATGGTGGATCAGAGCCTGATCAACCAGGCTGTTACTGCTGGGTGCATGCAATCCAACATACGAGCCACAGCCCAGCTGGTCAGGTACCGACTTTAGGTGCTTGTCCAGTGCCAGCTTGAAGACAGCCAGGGGTCTATTGGTAATCCCCCTTATGTATGCTGGGAGGCAGTTGAACAGTCTCGGGCCCCCGACACTTATTGTATTCTCTTAACGTGCTAGTGATACCCCTGCTTTTCATAGGGGAGACGTTGCATCGTCTGCCAAGTCTTTTGCTTTTGTTGCTAGTGATTTTCGTGTGCAAGTTCGGTACTAGTCCCTTTAGGATTTTCCAGGTGTATAAGAACATAGGAACACTGCAGAAGGCCTACTGGCCCATGCAAGGCAGGTCCAAGTCTCCTGCCGGTTTAAGCCAATGCACCCAACCTAGTCAGGGTATATTATAAGGTATCTCTCCTGCCTGCGTTCCAGGGAGTACAGGTTCAGGAACTTCGAGCGCTCCCAGTAATTGAGGTGTTTTATGTACGTTATGCGCGCCGTGAAGGTTCTCTGTAATTTCACCTGCCTTGATAGAACAAGCGACCTGAAGTGTCATGGGCTTGGCATCCCTAGTTTTGAAGGTTCTCATTATCCATCCTGTCATTTTTCTAGCAGATGTGACTGATACAATGTTATGGTCCTTGAAGGTGAGATCCTCCGACATTATTATTATAATCAAAAAGAAGCGCTAAGCCACAAGGGCTATACAGCGCTGCAGGGTAGGGAAGGAAGCGAGGGTATTGGAAGGGAGGAGGGATGATCAGTAGGTTACAGAAATCAGAGGGGCAGGGGATAGTACAGGGGTAGCAAGAGATTGAAGTAGAAAGGGCTGAAGGTATCAGAATTTGTGAAGTCAGTTGTCAAAAAGTCAATGAGAGAGTCTGGATGAAAGGTGGGTCCATCAGCAAGAAGGGAAGGTAAAGAGAGAGCAGCGGAGAATTCTGCGTGCTCGTTGATAAAGTGGGCAATCCAACAGAATGTGGCTGACTGATAATGGAGCTTGGCAATTCTCAGAGAGGAGCAGGGCGCCTCTCCATGAGATATCCACGAGTAAGACGAGTATGGCCAATGCAAAGACGGGAGAGAGTAGTCTCCCAATCTCGACACTGGTGATAAGAAGACAGCCAGTAACGTATACTCAGTTTAATAGATTGAAGTTTGTTGCCGAGCATAGTAGACCAACGTTGTTGCCAACGGGTGTGAAGGTGGGAAGATATTGCAGCAAAATAGTCCGTAAATGGAATACCTCTATATGAAACTAGTAGGTCATGTACTGCTGACCGCACAGCAGTGTCTGCCTGTTCATTGCCCTGTACGTCAACATGACCAGGGACCCAACAAAAAACAATACCTTTGTGGCGTAGCCAAAGATGGATATGAAGGACTAAGGGGTAAGGTGTATCAAATTTCTGTATAGCCTGTAAAGCATTAAGGGAGTCTGAGACAACCACAAATGATGACACAGGCATAGATGCAATATGGATAAGTGCTGCAAGGATGGCATACAATTCAGCAGTAAAAATACTAGCCGAAGATAGTAAATGCCCGCGTATGACGCTGTCCGGAAACACTGCTGCGAATCGTACGCCGTCAGAAGACTTAGAGCCATCTGTGTACACAGCAATGGCATGAGAACGAGTGGAAGTGGTCAAGAAAAAGAGAGCGGGAAGCGACCATAGACAGTTGGGCTTTCGAGCAAGGGAGAGAGAAAGAACAGACTTGAACAGCTGGAACTTCCCAGGGGGGTAGGGAGAAGTGAGATGCTACATGAACATAGAAAGGTGGTAATTGAAGAGAAGACAAGAGCGAATGAAGAGAGAAGGGACGGAGTAAACAGGGGTGGCGAACAAAACCACTCTATAAATGGAAGGGTCGAGATCATGAGAGCGTACATAGTAGCGAAGGCAATGGGCATCACGGCGATCGGATAAGGATGGAACGTTCGCTTCTGCATAGAGGCTCTCGACAGGGGAAGAGTGAAAAGCACCAAGGCATAAACGTAATCCTTGGTGATGAATGGGGTTAAGGCTAGAGAGTAGCAGGAGATGCCGCTGAATAGATCTGGTCACCATAATCAAGTTTCGATAAAATGAGGGTGGAATGTAGGCAAAGGAGGGTTCGACGATCAGCTCCCCATGAAAGATGAGCAAGGGTTTTAAGAAGGTTCAGCCGGCTGTGACAAGTTGTGGCTGTGACAAGTTGTCTTCAGAGAGGTAATGTGAGGTTTCCAGGATAACCTACGGTCAAAGAGGAGGCCCAGAAACTTGACTGTATCACATTCAGGGATACGGGAGCCATAGAGGTACAAAGGATGATCGGAGATTACAGAGCTTCTAGTGAAAGTAATTTGGTGGGTTTTAGTGCTGGAAAATTTAAACCCATGTGTGGTGGCCCAATTGGAAACACGGTCGACTGCATGCTGGAGAGAAACTGTAATGAGGTGACAGTCAGCGCCTGCACAGGCAATAGCGAAGTCATCAACATAGTGATGACCAAATATTTGATGGAAAACTAGAGGCCAAATCATTAATAGCAAGGAGAAAAAGTGTTGTGCTCAGAACACATCCCTGGGGGACACCTTCAGCTTGGAGAAAGTCTGGGGAGAGCACATTAACCCAAACACGGAAATGCCTGTCAGTTAAAAAGTTCTTAAGGAAGGATGGTAGATTGCCTCGAAGGCCTAAGGAGTGGGCTTGGGCTAAAATATTATACCTCCAAGTTGTGTCATATGCCTTCTCAAGGTCAAAAAATATGGCAATAACCGAGTGGTTATTCGCAAAGGCATTATGAACATACGTATCCAAGCATAGTAAGGGGTCTATGGTACAATGTCCCTTACGAAAGCCATATTGACGAGTGGAGAGACTGTTGTGTGTCTCTAAATACCACACTAAACGTCTGTTTACTAGGCATTCCATCACTTTGCAAACTGCACTGGTAAGAGCAATGGGACGATAGTGGGAGGCTTCATGTCCCGTAGTGCCTAGTTTGCAGAAAGGGAGAACAATGGTGGATTTCCACAGCTGTGGAAGAACTCCTTGTGACCAAATAAGATTGTTGTAACATACGAATACGAATGTCGTCGGGCCCAGCTGCCGATGATCGGCAAGCTGAGAGTGTTGCCTCCAGTTCTTGAAGTGTAAAAGGCACATTATACTGTTCTTCTCTGAGAGAAGAAAAGTCCAAGGGTGCTAACTCTCTGGCAGACTTTGAGGAAAGAAATGAGGGGCACAGATGGAGTCCCTGAGAAATACAGACCAGATGATTGCCAATTTCATTGGCAACATCTAGTGGGTTTGCTATATCAACACTGGCAACCCGCAGAAGAGGAGCCGGGTCAGGAGAATATTTACCACTCAGTTTTCGTACTTTTTTCCAGACTGCACTCATAGAGGAAGCAGAGGTGATGGTGGAGACAATCTCGCCAGCAAGTGCATTTAGCGTCACGGATGACACGGCGAGCGATCACACGCTTCTGCTTAAAATCAAGAAGTCTCTCCGTGGTTCTATTGTACCAGTACCTGCCCCATGCAGCGTGTTTCAAGCGTACTGCATGAGCACAAGCAGGAGACCACCAAGGCACGCATTTCTGAGAATGCCTGCCCGAAGTTTGGGGTATACAATTAGAAGCTGCGGTTAAAACGGAGGACGAGAAGGTGTAAAAGCTCATCGATGGAGGATGAAGAAGGAACCTCTCTAAAAACAGTTAGGTGTGAGTAAAGGTTCCAATTTGCCTGATCAAATTGCCAGCGTGGGATACGAAGAGGTGGTGAATATGAAGGGGAAGTAAGAATGATTGGGAAATGATCGCTGTCATGTAAGTCCAGGAGAACAGAACAAATGAAGTCTAATGCGGCGGAGGCGGAGGAAGAGCAGACTGAGAGGTCGATGCGAGAGTGCCAGTCCGAGGATCAAAATGGGTGCGAGTACCTGTATTTAAAAGATGGAGGGGGTGGGTGGCAAGAAAAGCCTCTAACTGAATGCCACAGGAATCACAGCAAGACCCCCCAGAGGAAATGGTGGGCATTAAAATCGCCAAGTAACAGAATTGGTGGCGGTAATGACGAAACAAGAAAGGCAATATCCGGAATAGATAATGCCCGAGAAGGAGAAAGACATAAAGAACAGAGCGTATACCACCTATGCAAGTGGATACGGGCTGCTGTGTAATGCAGTGAATTACGAACAAATAGCTGATGGTACGGAATATCAGTGCGTAGAAGAAGGGCACTTTCATTAAAGGTCCCATCAGGAAAAGGATCTGAAGAATACAATAAATTATAGCCTGAGATGGGAGAGATAACAGCAGAGTGTAATTTTGGTTCCTGTAAGCAAACACCAACAGGGGAAAACTGGGAGAGTAACATCTGAAGCTCACCCCGATTACCCGAGGCGATAGATCTGCAATATTTCGCTGGATGGCCAAATCGCCAGCAATTTCTAAACTGTTGCGGTGTAGGGATCACCTTTCGAACTTGTAACCGATGTCCTGCTACATAAACTGAGGATGGGAGTTCACGGCTGTCAAAAGTTAAACAAGCCACATTGCTAGGGTATCGTCTCCGCCTGCGGGCAGGAAGAACATAAGTGTCTACCTTGAGGATTGGGAGCTCTTGGAGTTTCAGCTGTTCAAGAATGTCAGTGCCACATGTCTGGAAATTTTGTTGAACTATGGTATGGGGCAGAATGACGGTACCACTACAAGAATTGAGAAAATTATGTTTTTCAATAGTGATAGGAACAGTATCGATATGGGAAAGTCGAGAAAGCTCATGAGCCTGGGTAGCATTCTGTACGGTGATGATGCGCATACCACTCTTAAGAGCATGAAAAGAAATATCTTTACCAACATGGCATAGGAGTGCCTTGCCAATACTGTGGTCAGAAAGATAGGCAGTAGAGGAAGTCGGTCGTAAAGTGAAGAATTTAGTCCATTGTGCAGTCTGAAACTGAGCGTGGAAAGGTAGTGAAGGACGTGTCAATCTTTTCTGAGAAGAACGAGAAGGTGGAGAAGTATCATCAGCAGGTAATTGTCGTTGGCGTTTAGGCGTGGGACCAGAGTTGGTCGGACGTGGAACGGGTCGGCGATTCAAAAATTGCCGCAACGTAGAGGGAGAGGCCGGAAGCATAGTCAGAGGAGAGCGAAGGTCAGATAAATCAAAGGAGTCAGTTGAGGCCTCAGTACTTGAAGCGGGTGAGGAAACAACACCAACACCGGCAAGAGGTACAGAGGCATGAGGAGTGTCCGAAGAGTGGTTCAAAGACGAGGCGGGGTCAGAACGGGGTGCGGTATCAAGAAGGGGCCCAGGGGTAGCAGGTTCATGGACTAGGGCTGCCATGGTTAGTTTACTTCTTTCTTTTTATTTTTAAGAAAAAAAAGAAAGAAGAAAAGAAAATAAAAATAAAAAAAGAATAAAAAAAGGGGGGGACCGGGGAGGGATAGTTCCTAGGAGGAATGAAAGGGCCAGAAATCTCCCTCCGCGCCCAAGAGGGCCTCAGCACCGCAAGTAGCGCAGATGCAGCATGGAATCCGTGCCATACCCTACCCATCATGCCAGTAAACCGGCAATCTGGGATAGCAACCTCACATCTGCGGAGCTACCTCGGTGGACAAGAGAGGGCGGCCGGAAATCCGCCACAAAGCATACCTCCTTCAGCCACCACCCCCGGAATCCGAAAGGTGGCTTCCAGAGATACACCCATCGCCCGAGAGAGACCCAAAGCCACCCTCCAGAATACCGGAGAGGGATCGGGACATCCCCAGGCAATCCAGATTCCACGGCAAACTACGCCACCGCCAAGAACCTCAACGGAATGGAATGGACCCCGGTACCCTTTCCCCTACCTAGGAACTAGCGTGCCTATGGGAAAAAAAAATCCCAAAGGCCAAAAAGGAAGGGCAAAAGGGAGGGGTGGGGAGGAGGAGGAGGAAAGGAAAAGGGGAGGATGGGATAGGGAACGGGGGATTGGGGGGTAATTAGGTTCGGTCTGAGGAAGGAGACCGACAGGTCTAATTCCTCAGACCAAGAGCCTCTTCACCATGCCAAGGAGCCCCCCTTGAAGAGGGGGGCTTCTTGCAGTTCTTGATGAACACAGAGTTCCACGAGTCTGGCCCTGGGGCAGAGTGCATGGGCATGTCATTTATAGCCTGTTTGAAGTCATTTGGCATCAGGATAACATCAGATAGGCTTGTGTTTACCAAATTCTGTGGCTCTCTCATAAAAAATTCATTTTGATCTTTGACTCTGTCTGGTTAGCGGCTTGCTAAAAACTGAGTCCTATTGGGACTTGAGTAGCTCACTCATTTCCTTGCTGTCATCTGTGTAGGACCCATCTTGTTCAAGTAGGGGCCCAATACTGGATGTTGTTCTCGACTTTGATTTGGCATAAGAAATATTTTGGATTTCTTTTAATTTCATTTATGGCTTTTAGTTCTTCCCGCAATTCCTGACTCCTATAAGATTCCTTTAGCTTAAGTTCGATGTTTGCTATTTCTCTGACCAGTGACTCCCTACGCATTTCAGATATATTGGCCTCTTTTAGCCGCTCTGTTATTCTCTCAGTCCAGTAGGATCACACCATAACTCTCCACAAACACCAGCACCCACAATTATAGGTAAATACGTACTATTATTTCTGCGGCATTTGTAATCTTAAGCAGTAAGAACATAATACATCATGACGATGAACAATTACATATTCACTTTTATTTTTGTAAGATCTGTTGGTCTAAAAGTTGCTTGGCTTTTTGGGGGCTCCCAGGAACATAACCCTATTTTTCCCAAGTTCTTCAGTTTGTCTAACAGTTTTAACTACCACGGCATTTTCAGGAACATAACTACCATGTTAAACGAAGGTTTACTGTATATCATGTTCGACTGATGATGGGTTTGTTGGAATGAATGTCAAGGAGCACTTGTACTGAGGAAACAGAAGATACAAAAAAGGGATTTAAGTAGCTTTAAGAGAAGAATAAGGTAGAGGAAAGATAGGAAAAACCAGTTGTAACAGCTTACACAGTATGGGAGGGGGGTGATGTGCTCAACCAGCCTGGATCGTCCCTTCGACCTGCAATCATTCAATTTATGAGAACTTCACAAAAGTTAAATGTTTATATTAACAAAAATTCTATATAACTTTATTAGCATTTTTAACTTGATACATGAAGTTATTTTCAAGTTTCAAAAAATAGTACCTGTAAATAGGAAAGAGAAGAAAAGTGCATGAAAAACAGAAGCACAAGGGAAGAGAGAAAGGGATATAGTGAAAGAGGAAAGAAAACATGACAAGAAAATAGGAAAGAAAAGGAGATTAAGCATTAGGTGGATTTTTTGGAAAGTAGCAGAGAGAAAGGATGAAGATAAAAGCAGAGATCAGATAACAATAGCAGCAGAGTTAGTAAAACACATTATAACTTACTTTATAAAGCTAAAGTTAACAGCTCAGTCACCCAGCTAGAAGCTGCTCTTCAACCTGCAATAGTAAGAGGTAACATCACCATACACATGTGAAAAACGAAAAATTGAAGGAATCTTTAATTAACTGTTTATCAATAACAAAAAAGGCACAATACCGTGACTGGAACGATACACAAATAACCAGCACATAAAAGAGAGAAGCTTACGACGACGTTTCGGTCCGACTTGGACCATTGACAAAGTCACACTAACCAGAGGTGGAGCAGGACGGCTATATATAGGCAGGAAGAGGTGGTGGTGGTGGTAGTAGTAGTAGTAGTAGTACAAGAATTGTATATAATACCGACAAGATGAAATTAAGACACATGCACAACACCCGGGCATCCCCATCATAGACGTTTTGCCATCCAGCCAGCCACTGGATGGCGAAACGTCCACAACAAAGACAACCAGACGCCGCACATGTGTCTTAATTTCATCAGTAGTTGTAGTAGTAGTAGAGGAAGAAGAGGTAGTAGTAGTGGTAGAAGTGGGAAAACGAGCCAGTCAAATACAAAGGAAGGGGAGCACTGCAAGAGAGCTAGATGCCCACAGAGGGAGAGCAAGCGCACCGAGGTGCGTGAAAGGGGAAGTGGTGAAATAAATGAAGAAGGAACAGAAACACGAGACAGGAGAAAGAAAGCTTCTTTCTTTTATGTGCGGGTTATTTGTGTAACTGTTTATCCTTCGTATATCCAATATTTTATAATAGTACTGCAATTTAAATGTTATCCAGGGGAATAAAGGCAGATTTAAAATACTGGATCACTGGGTATAACATATTCCACACACTACCACTGTAGGTAGTAGGTTGGTAGACAGCAACTACCCAGGGAGGTACTACCGTCCTGCCAGATGACTATGAAACAGAAACCTGTAACTGTTTTACGTGATGGTAGGATTGCTGGTGTCTTTTTTGTCTCACAAACACGCTGCATAACAGGTACATCTTACTACTTTTACTTACACTTAGGTCACATTACATAGGCATGCACATGCATATATATGCATATACACATATCTAGGGTTTTTCTTTTTCTTAATAGCTCTGGTTCTTGTTTTTTTTTCTATGTTGTCCATGGGGAAGTAGAAAAGAATCTTTCCTCCATAAGCCATGCGTGTCGTATGAGGCAACTAAAATGCCGGGAGCAATGGGCTAGTAACCCTTTCTCCTGTACACACACTAAAAATGAGAAGAAAAACTTTATAAAACTGGGATGCTTGAATGTGCGTGGATGTAGTGCAGATAAGAAAGAGATGATTGCTGATGTTATGAATGAAAAGAAGTTGGATGTCCTGGCCCTAAGTGAAACAAAGCTGAAGGGGGTAGGGGAGTTTCAGTGGGGAGAAATAAATGGGATTAAGTCAGGAGTATCTGAGAGAGTTAGAGGTAAGGAAGGGGTAGCAATAATGTTGAAGGATCAGTTATGGAAGAGGGAATATAAATGTGTTAATTCAAGGATTATGTGGATTAAAATAAGGGTCAGATGTGAAATGTGGGTCATAATAAGTGTATATGCACCTGGAGAAGAGGAGTGTAGAGGAGAGAGATTTTGGGAGATGTTAAGTGAATGTATAGGAACCTTTGAACCAAGCAAGAGGGTAAGTGTGGTAGGGGACCTAAATGCTCAAGTTGGAGAAACACGTAGATTATTATAATCAAAAAGAAGCGCTAAGCCACAAGGGCTATACAGCAGAAACATGTAGAGAGGGTGTGGTAGGTAAGTTTGGGGTGCCAGGTGTAAATGATAATGGGAGCCCTTTGATTGAACTGTGTATAGGAAGGGGTTTAGTTACAGGTAATACGTATTTTAAAAAAAGAGAGGATAACTAAGTATACAAGATATGATGTAGGGCATAATGACAGTAGTTTGTTGGACTATGTATTAATACATAAAAGACTGTTGAGTAAACTTTCAGGATGTACATGTTTATAGAGGGGCCACAGATATATCAAATCACTTTCTAGTTGTAGCTACAGTGAGGGTAAAAGGTAGATGGGATACAAGAAATATAGAAGCAGCAAGTAAGAGAGAGGTGAAGGTGTATAAACTTAAAGAGGAGGCAGTTAAGGTAAGATATAAACAACTATTGGAGGATAGATGGGCTAGCAAGAGAATAGGCAATGGGGTCGAAGATGTATGGGGTAGGTTTAAGAATGTAGTGTTAAGAGTGTTCAGCAGAAGTTTGTGGTTTCAGGAAAGTGGGTGCTGGAGGGAAGAAGAGTGATTGGTGGAATGATGTAAAGAAAGCAGTAAGGGAGAAAAAGTTAGCATACGGTGAGCAACTGCATGCTTCTGCTTAAAATCAAGAAGTCTCTCTGTGGTTCTATTGTACCGGTGCTGTATAGTCCTTGTGGCTTAGTGCTTCTTTTTGATTATAATAATAATAATCTATTGTACCGGTACCTGCCCTACGCAGCATGTTTCAAATGTACTGCCCAAGCACAAGCAGGAGACCACCAAAGCACGCACTTCTGAGAATGCCTGCCCGAGGTTCAGGGCATAGAATGAGGAGTTGCGGTTAAAACTGAGGTCGAGAAGAAATGTAAAAGCTCATCAATGCAGGACGAAGGAACCTCACTAAAAGCAGTTAATTGTGAGTAAAGGTCCAAATTTGCTTGATCAAAATTGCCAGCGTGGGCTACTAAGAGATGGTGAATATGAAGAAGTAATAATGATTGGAAAATGATCACTGCCATGTAAGTTTGGGAGAACAGACCAAGTGAAGTCTAGTGCAGTGGGGGAAGAGCAGAAAGAGAGATCGATGCAAGAGAGAATATGAGTACGAGGATCAAATTGCGTGCGAGTACCTGTATTTAAAACATGGAAGGGGTGAGAGGCGAGAAAAGCCTCCAACTGAATGCCACAGGAATCACAGTGAGAATCCTCTCCCCCCCCCAGAGGATATGATAGGCATTAAAATCACCAAGTAACAGAAGTGGAGGCGGTAAGGACGAAACAAAGCAAAATCTAGGATAGATAATGCCCACAAAGGAGAGAGAGAGATAAAGAACAGATTGTATACCACTTATGCAAGTGGATACAGGCTGCAGTGTAATGCAGTGAAGTATGAACAAACAGCTGATGGCACAGAATATCAGTGTGTAGAAGAAGGGCACTTTCATTAAAATTCCCATCAGAAAAAGGATCTGAAGAATACAATAAATTATAGCCTGAGATGGGATAAATAACAGCAGTGTGTAATTTTGGTTCCTGTAAGCAAACACCAACAGGGGAAAACTGGGAGAGCAACATCTGAAGCTCACCTCGATTACCCGAGGCTGTGGATATTCCATTGTAAATAGCCCATAATTGGCAATAATAAAGATACCAGAAATCCGCAGGTAAGGGAGCCTATGGATTAGAGGGGTTAGAAAAGTCCACATGGCGGTAGCGGAAAACGTTCAAGTAGCAAAGGAACAGAGTGCTGTGAAGAAAAGAGTTGTGCAGATGGAGGTAAGGAAAGAGAAGGAACAGGGGGTGGAACAGTGTCCATTAATGATTTAGTCTTTGCAATATATTCTGAGATAGCTTCAAGTGTTTCGGAATTCAAAGACATTGTATGGGAGACAATATTGGAGATGGGGGGAGGAGGGTGAGTAAAGATAGGGACAGTAATGGACTACACCAAAGTAGGGGGGATGAAAGGATGGAGGGAACTGGAAAAGAAGTGTGGGATGGGACAGAAGAGGTAGAAACCTGGGAGGTGGCAGAAGAGGAAGAAACTTGGGAGGGGACAGGGGAGGAAGGCCCAGTATGAGGAGGAGGATGAACCTCTGCACTTGTAACAGAGCCAGTGAGAGGGGAAGAACCAGGTACAGAGACTGGAAAGGTAAAATGTGGAGGTGGAAGAAGGGGTTCAAGGAGATTTGAGTCATGCCAGTAAACCAGCAATCTGGAATAGCAACCTCACATCTGCCGAGCTACCTCGGTGGACAAAAGAGAGGGTGGCCGGATATCCACCACTAAGCATATCTCCTTTGGCCATCACCCCCAGAATCCAAAAGGCAGCCTCCAGAGATACACCTGTCGCCCAAAAGACACCCAAAGCCAACCCCCCGGGAGACCGGAGAGGGATGAGGACATCCCCAGGCGATCCAGATTCCACAGCAAACTGCACCACCGCCAAGAACCTCAACAGAATGGGATGGACCCCGGTACCCTTCCCACTACCTAGGAACCAGCATGCCTGTGGGAAGAATCCCAAAGGCCAAAAGGAGTAAGGGAGGGACAGGAAGGAGGAGGAGGAGGAAAGGGAAAAGGGAGGATGGGATAGGGAAGGGGGGATTGGGGGGTAAATAGGTTCAGTCTGAGGAAGGAGACCAACAGGTCTAATTCCTCAGACCAAGAGCCTCTTCACCATGCCAAGAAGCCCCCCTTGAAGAGGAATTAGGTTTAAACTTCCTGTTTAGCGAAGCGATACAGACCGGAACCACAGGTGACATTAAAAATGTTTTACTGGTCCCTGTGGACCTAGCTAGAAAATGTAATAAAGGGGAATTTCTTCAAGCTCTAAAGCACGATATAAGTCTAACAAATAGGAATACAGAAGGTTTCTTTTTAGATGAGGACAGTTTTCTTTGGAGAAGAAGTAATAATAATAATTCTATTTCGAAAGGAAACTTGTTGGTGGTCCCCTCATCCATGAGCAGTATGGTATTTGAACTAGCGCACAATAATCCGCTGGGAGGTCATTTAGGATCCCGTAAGACACAGAAGAAGATTCGGAAATATTTTTATTGGCCCCTGATGAGGACCTATACTGCTCACAAACAATGGAGATGTCCTGTTTGTCAAATAATAGGCAAAATGGCGCACAATCCCGCATCTGCCCCTTTACTTCTAATAAAGAGTCCTAAAAATTCAGGCATTTTGAAAGATTAGTTATTGATTGTGTACGACCGTTGCCCCACACAAAAAGGGGTAACCAGTATATCTTCACTATCATGGATATGGCAACGAGGTATCCCAAGGCTATTCCATTGTCAAAAATTAATTCCAGAAATATAGTACA